TGGCGAAGGCAAGTGCAAAACCAATTCCCACGTGCATGTCATGATCTAACAAGCTGTAGGGCTAGCTGGCAACATCCTCAACGCCTATTACTTTCTCTGTCAGAATTACAGCTGCCATGCTCTGTACCGTCAACAGCCTGATACGTGGGATGAGATCATTCTCGTTGGTTTCTCCCGGGGAGGATTCACGGTTCGATGCCTGGCCGCTTTCATCGACAAAGTGGGTCTTTTGCGACGTCACGGTCTTCCACTACTAGAGACCCTGTTCACTATGTGGAAACAGCAGAAATCAGAAGTGGACGAGAAGAAACTCGACAAGCTTGTCGATGATCTTGAGAGTAATAATTTTCTCTTCAAACCCGGCATTAAGGTCCTGGCAGAATGGGATACCGTCAGTGCCATGGGTTTGCACATCTGGGCACCTGAGTTTTCTTTCGTATCGGACACAGTACCCAAATGTGTCGAATCGGCGTTCCATGCGATGTCTATCCACGAAAGGCGCTTCGAATTCGAACCCATGCCCTACCGTAGAGGTTACGAGGAAGCGCATACAGAGAAAACGCAGACGGTGCGACAATGCTTGTTCGTTGGCTGCCATTTCGATATAGGTGGAGGCAATGAGGATGCGGGTTTATCTATGCTGCCATTCCTTTGGATGGTCGATGCGATAAGCAGCGCTTCCAGCGCACGGTTCAGCAGCCTCGCGATATTTGGGTATCACGTCCCTCTGGCGATTGATTCGAAGCTCAATCCTGGCTTGTGGCATAGTTTCAAGGATGGGGTGACGAGAAGAGACCATGAGACCGAAAAGCCAGTCTATACTACCTGCAGCTCAGCCAAAGGTGAGTTACCCAGTGCTACTTGCGAAAATCATATCCGTGTGATGATGCTTAATTCTTCCAGGGTACCTCCAGCCCTCGCATAGGGGACTATGGCAAATTTTGAAGTGGAAACCCTGGCTAGGTACATTTGTGCGCCCACGCGGCCCATACTGGACGCTCACATATGACCCCGCCTCTCATCGAACCCTTGCGATTCGATGTATGTTCGCGGTCGGCAGTCTCTTCAGCAAGGTTCGCAATCTTCTTCTTGGTGTGCAAAAGCAGCATGCCGTCGGAAAACAAAAACCCCCGGAGGATGAGAGGACGTTGGCCATTGAAGTCCACTGGACGGTTCGCATGTTACAAAAGCGGATCCCAAATGGCGCTGGATGCTTACCCGGCTATGATCTCCAAGGGCTCGACGAAGACCCCCATGGACGGGAGAGTGGCTTGCCACATTACATTTGGCGCAAGCGGTGTGACTCGAAGCAACAGTCAAATCCGAACGCCGATAGTGAGGCCATCTTGCATGAGTTCAGACCCAGCAAATCTGAATCCGAACTGTATAAGGACTGGTCCGAATACGATGGAAAAGAGAAGGACAGAAAGTCCAATCGGGTAAAGTACGACAAGCGGTGGATGAATGCGTTGAGTGAGCTATCATTAAAACCAGACCCACCGGTACTAAAAGGCCGGAAGCGGGAAGAGACGATGCGAGAATGGTTCCGAGACTTGTGGCCTGAAATCAACGAGCTTAGCGAGGAGTGAAGAAGAGCCGAAAGCTAGCTCCACAACAAGAACCAACTCCTTGCTATTTTGTATCGATGCACAGACAGAACAACTTGTGGGACAAATTGAATAGAACTTAACAAAGGCAAAGGTTTAACGGCCCTCAAACTTCATGCCGATCGAATTGATATCGTATGTCAAGAAATAGGCAATTTGTTGATCTATATGCCGGATAAGTGAGCTGGAAAGGCTTGGCCCAAGCCTCACACCATGGCCCCATCATCAGAACCTACGCATCCTCAAGCATACTCGTAACACTAGCCCTAGTTCCAAACCACTTCATGATCCAACGCGTTATCTTATCGCTCGCTGTAGCTCCCTCAATGAGACAGCCTTCTCCCTCGTCTCTTCTCCATGAATCGCTCTGCATCCGTTGCCATACTGTACACCAAACTCCGGGCCCACTCGCGACAGAGTCAGGGCAACCGGAAGCATTTCATGCATTACTGCTTCAGGAAACCGGCAGCGTCACAAAATGGTGTGTCCAGACTTGACGGTACGTAGACGCCGGACGAGCAGCGTCAATTAGTTTGACAAATTGTCCGCGGGCAGCTGACTTGACTTCATCTCGGCCTGGTGACGCCAGCGTCCGACGCAGCATCTACATGGCCTTCGTCGTTGCGCAGTGTGGAAACGCTACCATTAGACACAACATCTGCGTGGCGCTCCTCAGTGCCATCCATCACGGGTACATACCCAGGGCCCAAACGAATGGGCTGGATCCGAACTTGCTTCTCCTCAACCAAGTCAATGCGCCATCGCATGGTTCCATCAACGTCTCGAAACCATCCCATACGCGTCAACATCTTGTCCTCCTTGACTATAGCATCGAAGCCCCTTTCTCTGATAACTTCAAGCAAACGTTCGCTTCCAGCGATAAGAACCAGCACGTCAGCGATGCATTCGATGTTGCGCATCATACCGCCGTAGTATTTTCTTTGCACGGATCCGAGGATGATGATGGTGATGATAAGCCAGATTAGGATGCTTGTGGCGATCCAAAACGCGACAAGATTCATTTGGAGAACTTCGACCTGGGTGCTTAATTCCGCTGTTGTTGTTTCATTGGTGTTGCGGACAATGTCTTCGAACTTCGGCGCTATGGAACCATCAGGCATGTACTGGATTGGCATGTCGTCCATTGGAGGATTGATCTTGAGCTCCGTCCCCCTAGGTTGGTAGACATAACCGCCGGATTCGCGAGACAGGTTGCTGTTTACAAAGTGCTGAAAGAAGGTCGAGAAGACAGTTGAGGATGTTCTGGCTAAGACTTCCGGATCTAGTAGGGCGGTAGGATCAAATCCGACTTGTGCGTAAGCGGCGTACGACATGAAATCGAGATTAAGACCTGTTGTGTTATCTCGCATATTGAAGGCCCTGCCATCTGAATATTGAGGGTTGGGTCTTGGGGAGTTCTCGTATGTTCGGGGTGGACTCTTAGAGGAAGGCCCATCAATATTTGCGGCATTCAAAAGCCATTGCACGAACAAGGGCCCGTAACTGTAGTGATCTATTAGACGGAACGAAATCAACGTTTATAGTCTAACTCACCTAGTAGTTGTGTTGATATTGTAGTCATAAGACTTGAAACTGCTAGCCCTCCATTCAGAGCTATTGACCTCAAAGTCAGGGTCATGATGGATATTGAAATTGGTGTAACGAGCGTCTTCGTAAGGGTCACGCCATTGGGATGTATCAGACCAAGCGACATCCTCCCGAACAGGAACGTCAAGGATGCGGTAGTGCTGTACGACACCGGTTTTGGGCTCCACTGTGACTTCTGCTTGGCTCGACTCAAAGACAGGCATGCAGTTCAATGCCTGTATAGCGGGCGGCTCTGGAAATACGAACATGTATACATCCGGCTTACGGCGCATACCCGTGAGGAATCGTTCAACCTTTCCAGAGCCTCGGATCCATTTGACTGTAAAGTTTCCAGATGTACGATAATCGCGACTGTCTTCGGGGCCAGATACTTCCTCCCAATTCTCCGTCCAATAAGCAACTGCGGCTGGATTGTACGTTGCGTTTCCAGTAACATTGGCGCAGCAAGGTGGAATGCTGCCTTGGGTAGAAAGCCAAGTCGTGGAATTGCGATCTTCAACGACTCGTGCTATCGTGAAATAGTTGTCTAGTCCAGTGATGTTGCGTCCATATCCTTCGTTCTGCGACATAAGCCACAGGCTCGTGTTTCTGGGCCACTCGACAGCACTGCATTCCAGGCGAGCACGAATCGCGGAAGTTTGGACTCTCAGGCTCTCCACGGAGCGGTCGCCCCTACCTGCTGGACTCTTGATTTCAGCCGAGGCGAAGCCTTCCACATCGGAAGATACAGGCATGAAACTCCAATCATCTTGGCTCCACACTGGTTTCGGGCCTTCTAGCGCAGTATGTATAATAGCGGTATACATCCAGTCTTTTGACAGGCTCTGCAGGTTGTCCCACACCAAGTCGCCAAGGTCGCTTGAGAAACTTTTCTCGTCGATGGTGTAGTTGAACAGCCAGGTAGATTGATCTCTGTTTACCGATATTTGTTGCACGAATGGAACACTGCGCAGCTCCAATGCTAGGGGCATTTCCGAGGAAGTAGTCAAGACGCCATTACCCGAGTCAAAGAGAGCGGACATGGCGATTGTGACTTGATCACAGCTATTAGTTGTAGTTACAGCCTAGTCTTGGAATGTGCACTTACGAGCTTGGAGCAGAAACGTCGTCGTTGTAACAAGCGAAAGCAGCCAATGTCGGTGCTTTAAAGCTTTCAACGATGCGAATAGCCAGAACCATGATAGATAGGATAATGCGATACCCTGAGAAGGACGCTTGGCATCATGTTGCATGCTAATGTAAGGTTGTACCGTCCTACAAGTGGTGTCAACGGACTCCCACCAGAGCGTGATAACAATAGCAAGCAAAGTCGGGATGACAGATAAGGGCGATACTGTGTTTGAATGACCGAGAAGCTTGATGTTGGCGCGATAGGTGAAGAAAGCCTGATGAAGTTCTGACCTCCGCGCGTAGACGTAAAGCACTACGATTCCAGCAAGAAGAGCTATGATGTAAAGAATGAGAAAAGCCAGGTTTCGTAGTCGTAGCATGGGTAATACAGGTGCGATGTCGTAGGATTGCACTCTTGCTTTTTCTGCCATGTGTCAGAAGATACACCAACGGTTCCGTACGTACGTACTCTCATGATCGTCCTGGATGTTAGCCTCATTTTCTCGAAGCTTGCCATGCTTGGAATAGAAGACTTTTCCAGCAAGTTCTTCTTTCAATGTCTTTCTTGTGGCGAGGTCGAGTTTTGTGAAACTGCGCAACACCATCGCATCACCGCTGCCCCATATACTTGTACCCAACAGTGTACTGGGATCTTGGCTAATGCTAAGAGTTGTCTTAGTCGTCCGCGTCTCCCACAGGATGCCTAGAAAGAAGAAGCAACAAATGAGTAACAGAGCACACATAATGCAGGCGGCTTGCCCGCTGACTAGCACTGTCCGGACAGATCCAAGTTGATGACCAGCCGTAGAACGTTCTTCTAAAACTTCCGTGCGTTGCAGAGAACCACCAACAATTTCTGCGAAGAAGCGACGTCTGAATTGAGCAGCGACCACAGGCAATTGAGGATCAGCCATCATTCGTGGGATACTGAAGTTGTATGGTTCACCCAAGATCGCAGCTGGGCCCGTAAAGGGAACATCATATAAGTTGATCTCGATGTCAGACGTCTTGGTCTCGTGGGGGACGAAATCGCTCCATCTAATGTCCGTATAAGCCTTGCGTAGTTCGAGTAAGTCAAGGACGGTCGGGGGAACTGGCGTGGCAATTTGGTGGAAAAGATCCTCATCGAACTCGACGGACAATGTGCCTGATGAGGCTGTGGCACGAGCTGGGATGGTGGCCATGCTATGGCTTGTGTGACATGCATATGCAAGCATCGTCATGTTTTGTAGGAATTGTTCGGTCGGCGTGATATCCTGCCTGGGCCACCACGGCGTACTCATCATAACAATCTCATTCTCGTGGCAGTGTTCATTCGATTGAACGATAGCATCTGACATGGGGTAGTCTTCCGATGTGATGTTGTTGATGTCGCTCCAGGAAATCCAATCCGTAGTAAGGGCGTGATACTCCACGTCGACAGTGAGGTTGAACTGGCAACCCTCATTGGACTCTAGGAGAACAGATGCTTGATAGAACTTTTTTTCTGGCTCTTCTTCCCATCCTTCGGGTGCATGCCGGAGATACATGTCCTTCTTCTTCATGTCCAGTTTGGCGCAAACTAAATCGGCGTGGAAAACAGTCGTGTTTGCCTCCCAAGTTCCTGAATCCTGAACCTTATAGTCCCAACGTGAACCAGTATCAGCTGAATCTTGTGGCCAGAACGGTAAGATGACAAAGTCGTCAGTAATCCAGGGGGAGGAGCTGTAATTTTGGAATATCGCGCCCATAGTTCGCAGATACGTATCTCGCTCAGCTCGAGGCTGTAGCATCAATCCGTTGCGCATTGCTAGTCGTGCAAGTGTCTCCGGACTTGTTTGGTGTATCTCTTTTGTTCTCAATAGTGCAGCAGACATCGGTGAGATCCCAAGTATGGCCAGGATATATGTGCTGCATGAGAAGATCGTAACCCAATTCCATGATCCGCCATTTCTTCGCCTTTGAAATCCTCGAGTAAGAGTTTTCCACCATGGCTTAGCCTTTTCGAGTAAAGTATAACGGGCAACTGGGATACGTCCGTCTGTTTTGCTCATCCTTGCAAAAGGTTCTGTCCGTTTTACAGCACCCAGTATGATTCCGGTTAATTGTGTATAGACCACAGCGATCAGCGTGGGTATGAACTTCCAACCCGGTATTGCTGAATCCTCAGCACACAGCCCGTTGTTATTATGTGAGTACCGATACAATGCGAACGTGATGGCTGCGCAGGTGATAGAACTCCCGGCAGCGGTGGTGATAAAGTACCAGCGTAGCGCAAAAGGCATCCATTGTGGTTCTGCGTGTGTGTTAGGACGAGCAGTGCAAATAAAGCCATATGAATACTTTCGTTCGCCGCCAGGCTCCACAGAGCTTACACTAGAAACATTGGAGATTGATGCGCGATGGGATGTGTGAGTATTCGTTCTGGAATGCGCTGTCGATGTTAGTGGTAACAGTTGCTGAGTTTCCATCTCGTGATGACGGTCTACTCCGGCTTGAGGCTCGACTCCACGATGATGGCCTTCTCTGGTATCCTCCATAGCGCCTCAAGGATGCAATCGCTTGAGAAGCTTGTGAAGGTTCGTAGTCTGGTCGGACTCATGGACTGTCTTGTGGGATAAGTAAGGCTGAGGAGCAGGGGTCAATGCATGCTGAAAGAACCCCGGGAGGGTTGTTCTCGTTGGTCTCATGCCGTATGCAAGTAAGATGTGGCGTTTCAGGCGGCCCGTGTTTGGACGGCAGCCAGGTGTAGTGATACAACAGGACTTGGTAAGCTCGGCTTTGAAATCGGACCAATGGAGGGAGCACCAACATTACTCCTGTATGTAATCGCTTGCACCGATCCGAAACTTGAGAGAGCATTCGCCGGGCTCGCCCATGCCCAGGTGGTGTTTACAAGAATAGACATCGACGGCCCCCGCGATTAGGCGCCCACCCTCCTAGCGTGCCTACCTACTCGGGTAGCTCCGCCCCCACATCCACCGACTTTGACTTTGGACAATCTAACAATGACGCAGCTAGGCAGCAGAACCTGCTATGCAGTGGAACGAGTGGGTTGAGCTGCGCGCCGAGCAGTACTCAAGTACCGCCAGCGATTACTGGCATGAGCAATGGGCATGCCCCAAGATTTCGTAATGTTGCAAATTACGCCCACGTCTATGTTGAAGAATTGTTGATTTGGTAAAACACGACTTCAATACATCAGATCACACAAAACCGCAACAACCACCCCCCACCCTAAGCATCCCTAAGCATCCCTAAGCATACTAGCAACCCCCGCCCAAGTCTCCAACACAGTCGGCCTTATCTGATTCGCCGGCAGCGTAAACCCATAGGTACCCTTATCCCTCAACTCGTAGGTATAAGAGTACGTCGCATTACCCGTAACATCAGTGTAATCGGTCGAAGAACCAGTTGTGGCATAGAGAGTCGCGCAGCTGGGGCCAATGGTGTAAGCGGTACCGGAGACGGCGCGGATAGCGGACTGGGCGCGGGTGGCGATGGAGCGATGCTGGGCGTCGTTTTCGGCGCGGAGGGTGCAGTCGTAGCCGTAGGGCCAGAGGATGTATTGGCCGTAGGAGCTGGGGTGTGGTTAGTTGTTTGTTTGTTTGTATTGGGAGGGTTGGTGGGAGGGTTGGGGACGTACTGCACGTCGAGGTAGAGACGGATACCACGCGAGGCCTTGAGCGAGTCGACTTGCGCCTTCAGACCGCGGAGCTCGGGGGCGTCGCCGGCTGCTACGCCTTTGTAGGTCTCTGAGCAGGGGTTTGTGGATGCTCCGCCTGTGACTTCCCATTTGTAGGGCCAGTTACCTTGAAGAGATGTTAGTGATTGCCTTATCGGGCGAGGAGAGGGCGAAGAAGGCTTACGGTTGATGTCACGGCCGACACAGCTGTTGCCGCTGACAGTCTGCCTGTTCTTGCGCCAGAGACGGTCGGTTGTCTGGGAGTAGACGAAACCATCTGGGTTGGCGATGGGTGTGATGTAGAAGTCGAACTTGTCGACAAGGGACTTGATGTTTGCGTCCGAGCCGTACTTGGTGAGTAGTTGCCACGCGAAGTACCTGTGTGGTGTTAGCACATGGATTCGGGGTTTCATAAAAGCTGACATACTCGGTAGTCATGGAGGTAATCCACTCTCGTGCGTGAACGTTACCGTGGATAATGACGGCAGGCTTCGAGCCCTTGCCGCCGCTACCCCAGATGTGGATACCAGTCAAGGCTCGTCCCTGGACAGAGGTGCCGACTGTGACAATTTCAGACTGACCGGTGTAACCAGCCTGAAGATCCCGGAGGAACTGGATGTGGTCGGCATATGGGTGGTATGCAGTGAACCAGCTTTCGCTAGGGACTGGATATCGTCAGCAAGTGTCACAGCACAAACGAGACTCTCCACAAACCAGCATATACGCTCATCTCTCCCTCTTCGGCAAGAGCTGCGCCGACATCCTCGTTCAGCACCTTGCTCTCAGCCACCAAGGCAGTCAAGGCGTCGACGTTCTCGGGTGAAACGACGACATCCAACTCGGCAGATGTGCCAGGGTTGAGGATGTGTGCAGCCAAGCTCTCGATCTCTGCCTTTACAGCATCGGTGCTGGCTACACGTAGTACCTTGAAGCCATTGTAGTCGACCTTCTTGCCAGCCCTTGGAACGACAGTGGCAAGCGCGGTGGAGGAAAGAAGGAGCGCCGAGGTAAGGATGGTGGTCTTCATGATAGGCAATGAATGCAACGACAATTGTGCAGTGCAGTGCGGAACGATGCTGGGGAGAGAGCCTGCTTTTAAGTCGTGTAACGCTCACACAAGCCCATAAACCACCTTCCCATCCAGTGCGTAGTACCGCAGACACCGTCCTACCTGTTACCCCAAGTCTCGCATCGATTAGGCAGGTACTCACCCCGTACTCCTGGCTGATCTCCTGCAAGCACGGGAGATGTACACTCGAAGGAGCTCTACGTAGATGATGCAAGCGCGGGAGGCTAACAGTCCAAGGAATTCGGAACTCCACATCAAGATCTGGACGGCGGTTTAATATACAACATCACTTGGCACGTTCTGCGGACGACGTGGGTAGGAGAGTGTGATTGGCGCGGAGGCGTTGAGCTTGTCGCATTAGGCAGGTGCGGGTTTCGGAGACTACGCTGGCTTGTCTTGGCTACGAGATAGGCCAAATACAAAGTCTAGGCAATGCCAGGTACGTGATCTCGTGGTGCTCGTTAGTATGGCGACATACTGCAGGGTGGTGAGTACCTTGGCGAAGCGAGTGCCTGGATGGGAAGGAGGATGGAGATTGACCAGCCTGGATGCGCCCCAATAATAACCTGCTCGTATGCGTGTAATGCAAACAGCATCGCCGCGTTCTCTCAACAACTTGGAACACCCAGCTCTCGCAGCACATTCGAGTAGCCAATCCTCAACCACTCGTCCACATGCTTCTGTCCCGATATCCACACGCTCCCTAGCATGCCTCCAGCATTCGCGCTTGCTCCCTCTGTGGTTCCTCTGCGACGTGGAACAACCACGAGACGATCAGCCCACATGATGACGTTATGGGGAGGTGTTTCCTCCTCACACGTGCCCATGAGCGTGCGGCACCGCGCAATGAATGTCTTGTACACATCAAGAACAGTCGAAGCGGGCGTATTCGAGAAGCCATGACTGAACTCATGGACAAAGAACTGGAAAGGTACCTTCTTTGATGAGTCGGTAAGAGATGACATGATGTGGTCGAAAGCATGTGGCGGCCCTCTCAAGCCCTGGAGGTGCTTGTGTATCCTGCTGCATCCACCCTTCTCCCCACAGTTGAAGATGACGTAGAAGTTTGGAAGTTTTCGTAACACTTGCAACATGACCTCAAAGTCATCTAGGTCAAGAGCTTCGTACTGACGCTTGTACGAGTCCAGAGTCAACATGAGTAGTTGCGGCCTGTCGACGCAGAATAGATTGAGTGCTAGATCGTGCGTGCCGTTGAGCTGTGTGATGTTGAGTCGCTCGTCTGGACAGAACATGTCGCTGCCAGGACCATATTTTCGTGATTGGTCAAAAGCATGGTTCGCGGCGCCTACGGTGTGAGGTTTGGTTGCTAGTGCTGGGCAGACCCGGAACTCTATCTGGCTAAGGTGTGAGTAAGGACTGGTGTGACTGTTGCCGTTGCTGGACTAGCTTACCGGGTAGCCTTCGTGCTCGAATTTGATAGACTCATTAGGGCCGTAGACAATGACACCTTCAGAGACGAGCTTGTCGAATGATTCGGTGAGCGCTGCTTCTGTGACGTCGTCCATGTTGCTGCTGACTGTTCGGTGAGTTGTTGCCCAGGTGGTGAGTCGAGCGTGGAGTAACGAGACACAAGGCCTGTGCTCAAAGCTACGGAGTTAGTGCCGTATAGCCGGACTGAGCAGAACACCACAAAGGAAACGGAAAGAGAAGATGAAGTTTATGTAGCATTTGCAGCTAACCCATCCAAAGAAAGACATGCAGCACCAAAAGATGTCGCCAACCAGAAGTGAAAATGCCATCGTCGATTATAAAGTATATGCCCCTTTCCAAGATGCAGTCTCCCAACCGCAGAGATCAAGCAGTGTACATGGATGTGGGCGCAATGCCGGGGTATCGTGGTATCGTATGAATGAGGTAGAACTATGAGGTCTCAGGCTTGGCGGACAGTGGCCTCTCTACCAGGACATAGTCAGCACTGGTAGTCGATGTAGGAGTCGGTGTCTCTGGTAGCGCACCTGGCATGTTTTGGGACTTTGAGGCAAGGGGACTGGCGGCCCCTTGTGACCGAGCGGCGTCTTGTTCGCGCTGGGTGTCGTTCTTGGCTGGGGGCGAGTTGCTCTTTGCCTGGTTGAGGCGCTCTTCGGCGGCCTTGAGCCTGGCCTCGAGGGCCTCGAGCTCCTTGGTCTGGGTCGTGACTGCCTGCTTCCTGCGCGCCTGTCAGCGGGCTCCAAGTAGCGGTGAAGAGGGCGGGCCGTACTTCTCCAGGACCGTCTTGTCCAGGGTCGCGAGGCCTTCGTCCAAGTTGAACAGGCTGTCGAGCTCCGACATGAAGTTGCGGGCTAGGGTGCTGCAGGCGTGGTCAGTCTCAGACAGGCGGGAGCTATGCTAGCGCCGGGAGAGCTCACGATTGAGGGCGGTTGTTTGGCTTCCAGCCTTGGTCTGGGTCGTCCATGGTGGCCGAGTGTGCAGGGTACGAGGAAGTCATGGTGATGGGATGGGGAGCAGGAGCGGGTTATGCAAGAAGCAGGCGGCGTGGGGAGGCTCGGGGACGGTGGATATATTTATGGGCTGTACAAGAGTAGACGAATATGGGCAAGTGGCTCAGCGGATCAAAGATGTTTCATGCAACTCAGCCAGACCTGGGGTGGAGGGGAGGGAGCATAATATGGCGACCCTGGAATAGAGAGGGAAGGACGATTGCAATGTTAGGAAAAGGGGACGCCTATGCCCCAAGCTAATTTGGGCGTAGATCGGAGGTGGAGCTTGGAGGAGCGAGGGATCAATGATAGTTTGAGCGCCGCTCCCGAGTGCCCGACGAAGAATGGCCGACGATACGGGCACAACGACAACAGCAGGAAGTTGAAGGTGCAGGTGCAGCAGGATGTAGAGGCATATAGGGCTATAAAGCTATGCTATCCCAAAGTATCGCAGTACATCAGGGCCCGCTGTCAGGTCTGGTTCTGGCCCCGCGCCCGCGTGAGGCGACGTGAGGCCGGACGCGCCTGATTGGCTGTGGCCGGGGGCGCCCGATGGGGGCTTCAGGCGGCTGGGCTGCGAAACCCCGACGACAATTTGCGACATTGCGACAATCTCCCTCGACACCACCAAGCCCCCGTCCATCTCGCTCAATTTCCCCGCCCGCCGCGCCCATCACGACTCTCGCATGCGATGCCCGTCTGCCCGCCGTAGCAGCCTCTCCGCCCACCGCGCCCGCGCCCGCAGCCGTGGCTCCCCTTCCGCCCCAGGCCCATCGCCCTCGCGCTGCACACGCCTGGGGGATGAATACTAGCGGCTCCGCCTACACCAACCTCGAGTCGCTGCTGCTGTTCCAGTGCCTGCATGCCTACGGCGTCGCCCCGTCTGTCTTCGGGCGCATCTCCGACCTGCTGAAGAAGCACCCCGACGTGGCCGCCCACAAGTACTTCCAGCCCGGCCGCCTCAGCCCCGATGCGCTGCGCAACTTCTACCTCGAGCGTCTGAAGCGGGAGCTCGAGCACGAGCAGGGCGGCGACAGCGATGGCCCGAATGGGGAAGTCACGAACCCGGCCAAGAGAAAGAGGCATAGCCCAAGTCTGCCGACGGTGCAGGAGTCGCTGCAGCACCAGCACCTGATCCCGAAGCTTGTGACGAAACTCTACGCGTCTTATCGATATGAGATCACGGAGCAGATCCGGATAGAGGAGGAGCGATACGAGCGGCTGCAGCGCGACCTCCAGGGCATCGAGCGCGGAGAGTGGGATGACCAGTTGCGCGAGAAAGCAAGCGGCCGGACACCTTCATCGCGAAGCCCTACGCTGCCCAGGAAGTCGCCGCATCTCGCCCCGAAGACGCTGCAGCCGAATGCGAACCCCACGCCTGTCCAGAACGGCGCGCGTGGAGCGCCCGTCATCGCGCCTTCCCCAGATCCATCTCAACAACAGCCGGCATCCGCGCCACCACACCTGAACGGGCACCCTTCGCCAACCCAGCGCAAGAAGCCGCATCCTCCCTCAGATGGGCGACGGACGCCTTCGACACCGCAGCCAAACCCAAGTCAGCCACTTGCACCGTCGCGATTCCAGCAACCGCCGCAACCCCACGCCAACTACAGCTACCCCCAGAACATACAGCCCCAGCCAGGCTCGCACCAAAATGCCGGCCATCCTCCGCAACCGCCGTCACCAGCGCTGGGGTCTCCCGCGCCTCAGTTCCAGCCCCAGCCAGGCCAGAACTACGCGATGAATGGCGCGCCTCAGTACGGCCCACCGGGCTCCCAACCGCCATACCCTCCACACCAGCAGTTTCCCATGCAACAAGCGTCAGGGCCTCATTCACCCGGAGTTCACCATGGACAGCAACAGAGGGCGCATTATCCCCCTCCTGGTCACCAGCCCTACCACCCGCTGCAACCGCAAATGGCCCAGCCACCGCCCCAGGCAGGCTTCATGCTCCCACCGTTCCAAGTTGCGCCGCAAGACCCCTCGCGCGTCCACCATCAAGCCGCCGTGCCGCCGCTCCACCCTCAGGTCTCTACGCCTGCGAGCAACCGGCAGCAGCCCAGAGCAAACATACAAACTCCCGGCACCGGCACTGGCAGATCAGGCGCGCCTCAGATGCATCCCCTCGTCATCCAGGCGAGACAGTCTTTCTCCACCCCGATGAATGCGCGCTCTCCGCACAGCGCTCTAGCGACCCCGGTGTCAGCCAAGAGTCTTTGGAAACGATCAAGCTTTACCGGGACACCTGGAAGTTCTGCGAGCCCGCGCCCCGAAGTGCTTCCTCTGGACGACGTACCGCCGCTGATCCGGCCGAAACAGACACCACCAAAGGCGAAGACGCAGCGCAAATCACGGACAAAGGGCAAAGGCAAAGAGGCAGAGCAAGAGTCCACGATAGACGTCGAGACACCACAAAACTCCCAGCACCACGACCAAGAAGACGACTCTTTACTGGAGCCCGAGACCCGGTCCGGACGTTCACGGAGAAAAGCTCCTGCAAAACGAACACGACCCGGCAGCATAGCCTCCTCCCGAGCAGGCGGTTCTGTGCGGGATCGAAGTCGAAGCCGGTCCATCCTCTCGCATACCGACACGGTAGCAGGTGACAACGAGTCGCAAGCCGGTCGTCGCATCAAGTCAGAGCGCGGAAACTCGGTGGACCCCACTGAAGAGGAAGGTTCTGTTGGAACACCGTCACACATGTCCACACGACGCCGTGGAGCGGCTCCGGCCTCATCACTCTCATCACGTCGAAAACGGAACGCTCGTGAGGCCTCTCTTGAAGAGAATGACGATGCATCCTTCAGCACTCCAGGCCCACCCAAGACCCTGGTCGCGCCACGGAACTTCGCCCGGATGACGGCACCCATGATGTACGATATCAACTCGCACAAACATGCCTCGACATTCAACACGGCCGTTCGCGCGAAGGATGCAGAAGGATACTACGACATCATCAAGCGCCCTACAGATCTCTCTTCCATCAAGAAGGCTATAGCGACAGGCTCAAAGCAAGTTGCCGCAGCCGCAGCCGCGTCGGATAATCCTACAGGGAGCCCCGGCGGTGTCATGGGAGGCGTTGTAGAGTTGCCTGTGACGGCTGACAATGTCCCGCCAAAGGCTATAGTCAACGCTGCGCAACTGGAGAAAGAGCTTATGCGCATGTTTGTCAACGCCGTCATGTTCAATCCTGGAGAGGACGGCGTGGTGAACGATGCGAGAGACATGTTCCAGACAGTTCAAGGACTAGTCAGTACTTGGAGAGATGTGGAGAGGGATAGCGGACGCGCGGGAAATGAGGGTACACCATCGGTTGAAGACGAGGACCTACCCACCGCGAGCAAACGAAGGAAGATATAGTATAATCCTCGAACGGCTAAGCATGATTGACAACAGCATGGGAAGGAGTTGGCGGTGATTTGGAGTATACATCGATACCATGTCACGACACTGCTGCGGCAGGCTACCACTTTTAGAATTGAACATTACCCATCTTGACCGTCTTCATCGTCCCCGCGGCAGTTAGTGACACCGTCCAACTCTACACTTCTATCTTGTTGGTACATTGCCGTCTCTGGTGATATCGAAGTGACTGCTATCTCAGGCCTGCTTCGGGTGGACCCTGAGCTTAAGCTCTTTTACTTTGAGGTGAGAGACGGTGACCTCGAATACCTGCGCCCAGCATATAAAACACTGTTAGGTCTATCTTCTCCCTCCATCTCTCCTACCTTCTCGACTCTGCTCATCTCGCACGCAGACGACCACCAGCTGCAAGTATCTGTCACTCCATGATGGATACCTCCAACAACACAACGCCTCCAGCGACACCGTCGCGCGCCTCAATTGATCCCACCACCAGTGCCGAACCCTCAACTGTCTCCATGCGTCCACCCAGGATGGATAACTGTGACGACTTCATTGAGATTCGGCATGTTCCAGATCTCGTTGACGTCAACCCATCCCCGTAGGATTCTTTCACGTCGTTCTTCACATGTCTGCGTACTAATGTATCTCGAGCAGGATGCTGATGCAAACGCCCATTACCATCGAATGCGGGCCCAACTTGGAGACCAAGCTCACCTACCACAAAGAAATGATCTGTTGCCACAGCAAGCAACTCGAAGCTATGTTCGCAAAGGCCAAGCCTATGACGGTCTACTACGAGAAGGCCGACAAGTTGCGAAATGACCTGGCCAGATACGTATTCCCCGAGGTCAATGCGAAGGAGTTCGAAGACAAAAAGATGGACAGACAGGTATGTCTTGTCAGTATGCCCTGGATGTGGACGACCGAGCATCAGTGGCCCATCCACCCGGTTCCTTCCATACATGAGGTACGCTTTTGGTGTTCCACTGCTAACACTTCACAGGCTATACCATTGATCAAGACCGCATCCGAGAACTACCCTCTAATCGGATATGCCAGTCTTGTCAAGAAAACCATCATGGACGCAGTAGCAGGCGAGATGATCGCCAAGAACAACAGAAAAACGGCACAAAATCCTGCAGCCGATTTGAGTCTAGCAGGGCGCCTGGAAATCCTCAAACCCCAGGCCGTACATGAAGTAGTCGCAAAGCTCTTTACCGTCGTCCACCGCATCAACAGGTCCGAGATCCGCAAGGCCGAGGAGGACATCTACAAGGCTGCCGCTCAGCACCGCATCATACTTCCGGGTGTTGACGAGTCAACAGTTCGAGCGCTCATGCAGTGGATCTACCAGAAGACTCTTCCGTTCGAAGGGTCCGAACAGACTTACGCCGTCATGAAACTCACCGAGAGGCTCGGTGTTGATGTGCTCGCCACCAAATGCCGTGACGCGCTGTGCCACGTCACCAACGCCAGCATCGAGCGCGCCGATGCCGATGGTACCTCTTTCCAAACGCTCATAGGATATGGCACGGAACGCCCCGCTGACGACATTGTGAGAGTCGTTTTCGAGCACGCTATGAAGGACGAGACTGCCCCCAGGGAGCTCAGGAGCCTTATCATTGACGCCCTTGCCGGATATCTTGATCTCGAACTATGGCAGCACGTTAAGTGTCAGATCAAACATTTGACGGCACTTCAATTGATTGAATCCATGGTCCGCTTGCGACCGCTTGTCAAGACCGAGATGGATGGCCAAGACAGCATCAAGTCCGAGAGCCAGGAAGCCTCTGGCACCGATGTCTCTGAGAACATGGAAGTCGACAAGGACAAGAAGCCCATTCACGTCAAAGAGCAGAACGAAACCCACGTTTGAGGACGCCATCCGTTCGCTGCCGCAAAATCGACGAAGCCCGAAGCTGATGCAGACTTCCAGGAAGTAGGAAGGTAACGCAGTGAAGGCGATGGGGAAAAGTACAGTCTAGAGGTATCTACGGATCGTAGATCCCTCATACAAATTAGCGATTGCTTTCTGCGTTTCATTTCTTGCTTTCTACGCATATTCCAACGAGGAGACGGGGAGTATTACTAGCATATCATTTTTCTGACTTTTTTGTCCAATCAATGGTTGCACGTGTGACCGCTCGGCTCGTAGTGGTGAAGGGGTTCATTATGATTTACGTCATTCTGTCTCGTTGCGGATGAAGGTGAGTGGACTCTGGGTACGCTTGTTTAAGTACATCGGTCCTAGTTCGCTATGCTCATATCATGACCAGCCCAAATCGTATACAGTGTCAATATATCAAACTTACGATTAATCTCATTCGTGAGAGAATCTTTTTTGTCTAGGTCGTCGATTTTGCGGAAGTTGTGAGTGGCTCGTCTCGCTCTGCGGCATCGCGGTACTGTGAGGTGAAGTGGATAGCGACCAGAATATGGCATTGCACAAAGGTGTCACGGCAGTTCGAAGGTGACACCGCCTATTTACTCCTATGCGGGGAAGTTTTCGATCCAGCAGCCGCCCGAGATTGTCGATTCCTTAGTATAATCGATGCAGAGTCTCCAGTGGCGAAGTGTTGCTTCTGCACGACGCGTTTCCGAAAGAAAAGATATTCGTATTCCTTGCGTGCGACAATTTGAGCGAGTCCTGTTCCAATGACCTGGTCTAGTGACGGGAGCGTTCAGCGGGGAAGAGGGGACTCGAGAGCCATAGCGGCTGCCGCGGGTGTGGTGTACGGGTTGCACTATGATGTAGCTTCGGAGGAATCGTCTACCCGCCACTGGACGCATCTTTGAAACGGTACTATACTACTGCGGAGCTTTTCATCATTAGTACTTGCCCATCGGCATCACGTCATATCTCCACGATATTCGACGATGTTTCCTGATCCTAGGGTATACGATGCTGAGGCTAGGAACAGTGGCGTTATTGTCGATACTTTCTGGGAACACAGATGCACCAATCATCTCGGCAAAGAAAGTCCATAGCGTCCGCGAACCACTTACACGGATTGTACGACACGTTACATGTCCAAGCTTTGCTACTGTACCCTAAATCGCCGAGGGTATGGCGTTTTGTTATAGCGTACGTTGCTTCATCGCTCAGTGGCAGGCTCATCATAGTCTACCGAGAGTATCGACATAGCATCGATCGTGAATATGGCTGTTCGATCGACCAAATCCGCGGCCATCATCGAGATTGTTCGATGATGAAGTTCAGTCGTGATTGAGAGGTCTGTCTGCCAGTCCTTTCTGGGATAGATCGTGCGGTTCATGTGAACTCTTCCCGTCGAGGTGATTCATCTTGATCGGCCCGCCGGGGGTAGTGACAAGCTGCCGCAGTCTCTACCCGTAACTGATGCCACGTGGGAGGCGGTATCATGCCTACAATGAGATGCGGTGTGCCGATGTCATGAGCGGGACATGACAGAGAACCAACTTCAGTGTTTCTCGTCGCTTTAGGTTGTTTAACGCGTCGCATACTTTTCCTTCCCCTTGGAAGCTTCTCCACATCAGAGCTGTCCCGATCTTACCAAGGCCTCTTGGTGGCGTAATTGTAGTAGGTCTAGCCCGTCTCTATCTCGCTAGTGTATGATCGCAAGAGGCAATATGTTTGGCTTAAATGCTATTTTCCCAGGAAAGCTTTCTGTCGTGCGACTTGAACCGAATAGCCTACGTAGCTGCCGCCGGCTTGCTACATGACACAACGTCACACGTCCAACGGAAGCGGGATATCCAGCGCAAAATACCGTTGTTGCGTGTACAAAGACTGGCAGGAACAGCGAGATGGAGAAATTTGGAGGGAAAGCTAGAGGCTAGAGCTGGAGATGTTGCCGCTTTTGCTGCGCGTTTCTTCTCTAGCGTTAAAATGTGATATGAAATCTTTTCCTTGGTATCCCTGTCCTACAAGAGAGAAATCTGGTCTTGAAAAGGCGGCTTGTTTTCCGCAATCGTAGGGATGCATCAGCAATCATGTTTCCATTCTCAGAGCTTTTACAACTACCCCAAATCTTCCGCAAAGACGAATCGCGATCCAGTCGGCATCGACAGCTTCCAGAAGATGCCGTCGAACTGTCTGACATGTCCAGCACACCACCTCCCCAATCGACAGAAGTCTCTCCACGCTCTTCGTTGGACTCAACGCGCTCGGCATCTTCGTCATCGTCATCTTCCAGCACTTTGTCAGCAGCTTCACGATTAGCAAACTCGCCAAAACGACGATCATCGCGTCTTCCGACCCTCTCTTCGCCGTACTTGTACGAAACGCCGGTCTCCTTTTCGGGGCCACGGGGGTGCTCGCACGGAATGTATCGCTAGAGACGTGTGAACAGCTCTCATGCTTTCGAACATGTTATCTCCACTGGCCGTCCGGCCTTGATGAGAAGACTGGAAGTTATTACCAGGGAAGGTTGATGGAAGCTGTGTCTGTGGTGGATACTCATGTCTCTGAATGGGATGTTAAGGCTTGGATACAGGATCGGTCTGGACTTGGATCGTGTCAGACTTGTGAATATGTGGCGGTTGAGTGTACTGTGAAAAGCCTTTCGTTTCGTGCATAATACCCGTTTACGAATTTAATCTTCAATCCTTTCAATACACTAGAACTAGTAGAATGATCGAACGGTGAGGGATAAAGAAGTTTGGGAAATGCGCTCAATTCATGTAGCAGACAACTTCAGTGGTTGTAGGGTGCTTGCATACGTCATACGCCAGCGCTAACTACGTCCGGGCCAATGCGGAAGTCTTCCGCTTCCGATCCGCCTTCACACCAGCATTTCATCTCAGGAATTCGTTCTCGTCAAACATCCTGTAATTACATACTCTGAGATCTTCCCGATGGACGAGGTCTCGCGCAACTTTATTGACGCTCTCCATGCAGCTATCTGCATCGCTGCCTCCGAAGTGTCCGGAGCGACCTGGGCCGCGATCCACTCCATGTTCCCAAACAGCGGCATCGTGCTCTCGACTGATAACACAAGTTCATTGGGACTATATACTTCGTTGACATCGGAACTGGAGGATGGAGATCGGCTCACCTCATCCGGCGGTTAGGCGAGAGCCAGCGTGGTCGCCGTCGTCTAACATGTCGACATCTCCAGTGAGCTGTGGTGGACCCTCATCTGCTATAGACATCAACTCCTCCTTGTCTAGATGAGTGTATTCGCCCACATCCCAGTGCTCTATTTGGAAGTGGGTGAGGAATACCACACCATGACCTTCAATGCTCACCTTGCAGACAGGGCAAAACCTGAGGCCTAGGTTCTGGACAGCTAGGCTCCACACTCTTGGGATATTTCGGCGAATATGCTCTCTCAGCGCGTTTTCGACATGTAATTCCACGAGACCACGGAAACGAGAATATTCCCTTTCCCACACAGTACCCAAGGCTAAGAGCAACGTCCAGTTCGCAGCACTCGGCTCCAGCGCTCTAAGAACGGTCGTCATGTCCTTGTATAGCTGTGTGGTGTGGTATTCCAATGATTCCTTTGGTGTTTGCTGACATATGAGCTGTAGTGATACGATCTGAGCCATTAGGATGTCCAAGTGCTCCAGTCGCAATGACAGATCTTCCACGCACCGGGAACGAACGGTAACAGCGGCACTCGTCTTGGTTGCTAATACCACTGTTGGACAACATGGCGGTATAGTCACAGCCTGGCCGGCACGTTGGACGAAGGCGATACCGCTTTCCAACTTATCGCATGCAGTTGTGTAGTTTGGTGCGACATCTCCGGCAAGATCTATGAGATACTTGTTCAGCGTCGTCAGATTATGTGGCGTAGGCGGATACACGATGTATACGCGCACACCGGTGATGACATGTGTAGTACTGGTGCTCATCAGGGCTGACGCCTCCAACGGAAGAAGAGCACCACAGGACATGATCGAAGTGGTGTCTATGGATGACCGGGTGAGCGTACTCGAAGTCTCATTCTCGCCCTGGAAAAGTCTGAGACAACGGTCTATTACAGGCGATCGGAAGTTGAGCGTCGTTGCGTATGCGGCATAGTGCTGATCGTCCAGGTAACGCACAAGCGTTCGAGCTATACCCTCCCGACTTGCGTCACCTTCTAATAAACGAAGAGAAAGAGGAGGGGGCCTGGGGGGATATAATTGCGCTTCGTCGACCCAAGACTGGTGCTTCTCCAAGATCTTTCTCAGTGAGCGCGGGTGTGGCCAACCAGCGCCTGTTTTGTACAGTGTCAATTCCGGAATGTCAGTGACTTTGGAGGCACCATAAACAGTAGCAGAACTCTGGACAGCGTTGCCATTCTCAACACTAAGAAGGTTGACGCGGCCAGGGATTATGAGATCTGCGAACTCTGCTGCACGAGCAGCTGGACATGACTGAAGCTCGCGGATGACAGGATCGAGAGTCCACAGGTGGAGGGTGGGCGATGTCGCCTTGGGATTACCTGACATCATTGGTATTGCGATTGTTGCGACTTCGAGGGCTGGAATTGTGTGCGCGCAAAGAGAAAGAATAGCTGGTGTGGACGTAGAGAGAAAGAATTGCTGGAGTGGAGCATGAGGGAGTGTCAACGTCTGTACGAAAGGAAAGCTTACACTAGCGTGGATGGGAGTGCGCCAACCGTTAAAGAGTGAAAGTACTCCAGGCTTCTTGCTCCAGCCGTGATCGATCCGTAGAGAGAAGGAGCATGTCCGTCGCGGCGGAGGCGTTGGCCTAGATTAAGCTTAGTCCAAGGAATACCCGCGGACACACCATGCCGGGCTATTCGAATCACCGACACAGATGAGTATACGTAACATCCTCTGTGGTATATGTACGAATCAACAATAAGTTGCGCGGCAGGCGCTGTCGACTGCCGCGGAGCAGCGTTGAGCGGAAGAGGAACGGGATTGTTGACGATATATATACCTCTTGGCCATCTCTGTTCCATACTGTAACGGATGTCTTTATCCAGTATGTTTCCCGCACCAAGCCGATCACAGCTTAATCCACGACCCGCAGCTTCGCGTTTCTGTCCCCTTATTAACATGTCGGACATGTCAGCCTCAAAGCATGACAGTGAAAAGGCCCACAGCAGCAATGTCACACACGATCCAGTACCCGAGGATCCTAATATCGTGGCAACAGAGAAGCGTGCTGGAGCCATGGGAGCGTGTATCATCGGTACTGTCTTGGGGCCAGCCATTGGTCCCGTTATTGGTGGCTATGCTGCCCCAGCCGCGGGTTGGCGCTGGGCCTTTTAGACCATGGCTATCGCATGCGGTGTCATGACCCTGGTGTCTATCTTCTTTGTGCGCGAGTCATATCCTTACGTCCTGCTTGAACGCAAGGCACAGTGTTTGCGAAAGGAGACGGGCAATTCGTTTCTGCGGTCAGCGTTAGACTCTGAGAAGACGCCAAGGAGTCTCTTTGTCTTCTCCATCACCCGTCCTCTGAAGTTGCTCTTATCCCCGATCGTCTTCTTGCTTTCCCTCTACGCCCCTATGGTGTACAGCTATCTCTATCTTTGCTTCACTACTTTTGAGATCGTCTTCTACGGCCAGTACGGTTTCTCAAGCGGCGAGGCTGGCCTGGCAACACTCGGCATAGGCACCGGCTTGGTGCTGGGACGTGTCATATGTGGCATGGCTGCGAATGCCGTCTCCAAGAGGTTGACCGAGAAGCACGGTGGTGATCCAAAGCCAGAATACCGACTGCCACCCATGATACTTGGTGGCTTGTGCACGCCGATTGGCTTGTTCTGGTACGGGTGGTCCGCGCAGACTAGAGTACACTGGATTGTGCCTATCGTTGGTACGGTGTTCATTGGCATGGGCATGGTCTTTACCTACGTAAGACTTCCCTCTGGCATGTCGGTAACTTTTCCCGAATTAGTTGATTAACAACAAGTAGATGCCGAGCGCCATGTACCTCGTCGACGCATACACTGTCCATGCCGCGTCTGTAACAGCTGCAAGCACAATTTTCCGATGTCTTCTCGGGGCCCTCCTTCCGCTTGCTGGCCCTGCCATGTATGATACACTAGGCCTGGGCTGGGGTAACTCACTTCTTGGTTTCATCTCCATTGCCTTCTTCCCGGTACCATTCATCTTGTATTTTTACGGGGAGCGATTGCGAAACGCCAAGGTTCTCCAGGTAGAAATTTGACTGACTTTTGCAAGCTATTGCCTGAGTACAACGGGTTACGGTATCTGGTTGATAGAAGTTTGAAACGGAGGTGGATATGCCAGCTCTAAATCTGCTGATACGCTGGGTTTTTGAACCTGGTGATTTATTTAATCCCTGCCCTGATACGAATGTCCGTTGGTGTTGCTTTTAATCGGGAATACCGAAATATCCTCAAGATTACCCGTGATGACGCTCATGAACTGGAGCACGACCTCCATGACAGGGCAGACTGCGGAGTCAGTATCATTAGAAATAATAATGCTATCGACCCGTCGCAAAAGCCAAACTTCTCCCGGCTCTGTACCATGTAAATTAACCGCAGCAGTCACATCCCGGGCGGGTGCATTCTGGTGTTTCGGCTGTCTATCCGTAGCCGGTTCCACATCGGCACTCCGCGCTAAGGGCACCAAGCAACCGTGATTTCCTGTTCTGCGCGTCTTAGCTGCATCAAGGCTGCACGCCAACAGGCTTAACGCGTCCCAACCAATGGCACGCTCAGACGATCGTCGGCTGCACGGGCACACGTCTCCACCAGCACCCACGGCGCCTGTCCTCTATCACTGTCATGATGGGCCTCGTTGCCGTTTGTGCCCTGCTACTGGCGCCGCTTAGGGAAGGCGGGATGCATTTGCGGCAAGCGGCTATCATGGAGATTGGAAGGAGCGATAGCTTGGTTCGCTGGTTTGTTTGTCGAGGCGCGAGAAGTTGTTCGTCTTGTTTCTTCTCTCAGCTATTTCACTCTCGTTGTCGCTGGTCTTTGCCTTTACGCCCGTTTGCGCTTCCTTTCTGCGCTGTACAATCGTTCGTTCGTTCCTAGTCGACGCCACTGCCGTTCACTGTGCACTTGTGGCGAGCTAGTGCGTTTGCCTGATATTTGCTTGCAGCTATCGCGACGGGATTTCTCTTGCAACCGCGCCACATCGAAAGCAAACTACTTCGTCGATACACTGCAAAATGGTCCAATTGGTATCGCTCAGCCTCTTGGCGAGCTTGAGCGCTGTCGCGTCGGCTATTCCTACCATTGAAGTCAAGGGCTCCAAGTTCTTCACCAGCGAGGGCAACCAGTTCTATGTCAAGGGTATGTCCGACGATAAGACTTGATCAGGACGCACACTGACACTCGCGTCCAGGTATCGCGTATCAACTCGTTCCCGACGACCCACTCATCGATGCGACGCAATGTGGTCTCGACTCTGCGCTCATGAAGACCATCGGGGCCAACTCGATCCGTGTCTACCACGTCGACCCTGACTCCGACCACACCGAATGCATGAAGACATTTGCGGATGCTGGAATCTACATCTGGGTCGATCTCGATACCTTCGATACTCAGGTCGAGCAGAACACTCCTCGTTGGGAGACCGACCAGCGTGATGCTTTCGCCAAGGTCATGGACGAATTCCACCAGTACGACAACACTGCTGGCTTCTTCATTGGCAACGAGGCCATCACCACTGCAAACGGCTCCGTCACCTCACCCTACATCAAGGCTGCCGCCCGCGACATGAAGGCCTACCGCGACGAGAAGGGCTACCGCAGCATACCAATAGGATACTCTGCTGCTGATATCGCCAGTCTCCGCCCTATGCTGCAGAACTACCTCGCTTGCGGCGACAATGCGTCTGAGCGTCTCGACTTCTTCAGTCTCAACGCCTACTCTTGGTGCGGACAGAGCTCCTACCAACAGTCTGGCTACGATCAGCTTGAGAAGAACTCTGAGGATCTGCACATCCCCATCTTCATGTCGGAGACTGGCTGCAACACAGCAAGGCCGCGCGACTTCAAGGACCAAGAGGCGCTTTTCGGAGAGATGGCCGACGTCTGGTCTGGCAGTATCATCTACGAATGGATCGAGGAGATGAACGACTACGGTCTCATCAGCTATGGTCCCAAGGTTGACCCTGCTCAGGCACCAGATGGTTTCCCTCGCTCAGGTATGTCGTGCATCCTACATTCCTTCTAGACACGTCAACTAACAGCACACAGGAAAACCCACCCCAGTGGAACCCGATTTCCCCAACCTCTCTGCTGTCTGGGCTACATTGAACCCCACCGGTGTGAAGGCGGCTGATTACAACCCCACCAACTCGCCTGTCGTCTGCCCCGACTTCACCACCTCGGTCTGGGAAGTCAACCCCACGTCGCCCCTGCCCACACTGGGCCAGAAGCACGACTTCAACGGTACGCCCACGTCTGGCAGCTTCAGCGCAACGGCGACCGGAGGCTCTGGCGCAGAGGAGTCCGGCGCTTCAGGAACTGGATCTGACAGTGCGGAGACATCTGCGCCACCCTCCACCGGTGCTGCGGCGGATGCTCTGGGCAAAGAGCTCAAGGGAATGGGCGCGCTGCTCGCGGGTGTTATGGCTGTTTTCGCATGGCTATGAGTGCTTTTCACGTCGCGTTCTCAGAGCATCACCACCGTGTCACGCGCCTCCGACCTTGATGGATTTTGATGAAGACTTCACGGAAGACTATGTTTAATGATTCGAGTATATATTTGGACTAAAAGATCCTTGGTCCAGCTTTGCATGTAGGATTAGGATAATAGAATACTAAGAGAAGCTATCTCGATGTTACAATTATACGGATTCATGCCCGTCCACCACCCATTAACACATTACTGTGAGAAACTGCAGACCCGTTAGACTAGGATGCTACCGCTAGCATTTGACCGTCCTCCGTACAGCTAAAAGATAGCACCGATTTTGTCACTGCTCAAGCACATACGGCGCTCAGACTTTGTGGCAAAGCAGACCAACATATCGACGTCGCACAGTATCCCAGTCATCAATATGGTTCGAGCGTAGCAATGAGTCATAGAAGCTTTATATTCTTCATCAGTGTAGATGTAACGCTCTACCATCATCCTCTCGATATCCCCACCAGCGCAATAACCTAAGCACGACACTACTATGGCAGAGTGGAAGCAAAGGGGGCGCGACTGCTGTAATCCAGCTAGCACAGGTACGAGTTCTCATCTCCCAGTATGAATACCAACTGATGGGTTTGCACAGGCTGGCTCGCATGCTGCTGTCCATGGGTTCTGTACGGCAGGATTCAGTACCGAGACGAGCATCAAGGCGACATGGAAAAGTTCTCTTGCTGGAAGGCCTCTTGCAACACGCATGTGAGGTATCCTTCCCCTATGTTGGCGCTCGCAAGCTGACCATGACCGCAAAGTGTTGGACATGTGTCGGTGTCCACTGTTGTACATGCGCCACCGGATGCTGGATCCTGCCTTGCCTTAGCCGTGGGAGGATCCGGAAGAAGTATGGGCTGAGGAGCGAAGGGTACAACGAGAGTAAGAAGGAGTTTTGCAAGGAGTGGTGCGCGAACTTCTACTGTGCCGGATGCTGCTCCTGTTGCAATCTCGTCCAGCAAGACCGTGAGGTCGAGTACCAACACGAAAAGAAGAAATTGGTATCGCAGCCGGGGCCGGTTGAACCGATGACCTATTCGTCGCAGCCACAAATGGCGCGAGGGTCGTCTTCTCCCTCACTTCGCCCACAGGAAGCACAAGCGGCAATGACGCCTCCAACGGGGACGGTCGGGCAGGCAATGTGATCCAGGACGAACCAGTTGTCGCAACCAGATACAGGAGTGCTCATGTGCGCGACGGAACAGGAAGGCGAAATATCGGATAGACAGATGTCAGGACCATAATGACAACGTGCTCACTCCTCCTCACTCTCTTCACTGCTGTCCCCGCCCATCAAACCTCTTCTCATAAGCTCCTCAAGATCGTCCTCATCGTCGTCGGCTGCTGCCGCTTCACCAACCATGCTAGACTTGCGGTCATGACCTGCCGTCTCCTGTCGCGCAGGTGGACCGATGTCCATAGGTTCGATGTCCCTGTTGTAATCGTCCTCGTCGTCATCCTCACCTTCTGCATCGTCGCCGCCCAGATCACCAAAGTCAATCTCGTCTTGAGCGTTGCGATTGCGGCGGGGGTTCGGCGAGCCTTCACCATCGCTGTTGGCGGCGCTGGCGAGGGATATCGGGCCGTTGGAGGGGGAGCGGAGGTAACCAGCATTTAGGTTTGAGCCCAGAGATGCCATTGCGCCCTTGTTGTGTCGTGGTGGGCGTGCATCGGGCACTTCAATCTCGAGGCCACCGTCATCGTCTGACTCGCCCTCTGCGTCGTCGTCGTCGTCGGAATCGTGGTGTTGCTGATGTTGTTGGTGAGGAGGCGATGGATGTGCTGGCGAGGAAGCTGCTTCGCCGTCGGATTCGTCAGACGAGTGTATGACTTCGGAGGATTTGATTCTCGACGCTGGCGGTGCTGCGGGCTTGGCTTTGGGCTTTGGTGTTGTGTCGGTTGCGGTGCGCTGGAGGCGGACGGCTGGTGTGGCTTGCGTCTTCTTGGGCTTGACCATGGGGTTCGTGGCCGCTGTCTTGCGCTTCTTGGGCGCTGGTATAGCGGCAGCCTTCCGCGCTGGAGCAGCAGTCGCAGAGGCGCGGGCCCCGAACTGAGGTGTATTGACGGCGCTGCCTGTGCCTGTGCGGTAGTCTGGCGAAGACGCGTACTTGTATTCGGACTCATCGCCCCGTTTCTCCTTTTCCTTGCTCAAGAAGTGTCGGAAGTCGTAGGGGTTGTTTGCATCAGGGTCTCCTCCCTCGTCATCGGCCGCTGCCTCGCCGAAGAGATCCTCTTCGCCATCTTTGCTCTCGCCATCATCCTTGAGTTTCTTGGGATATATCTTGGCGTGCTGTGACGAGACGTCCTTGCCGTTCTTGGTCGCGAGGTTGAAGGTGTAGCTGCTGGACAGAGGCTCGAGCGTGGCCTGCTGGCTGGCGGGATCGAAGACGAGGACGTATGACTTCTTGGGTTGTGACTTCTGCCCTGTGAATGTGAAGATATCCTTGTCACCCGAGCTATTCGTATCGTCGATGCGAAGGTTGTACAGGCCGGTCGACGAGGGCGAAGTAAGCGTTGTCGAGCGCGAATCGGATGTTTGTGGGGGCTTGTGGTTGTCTACCCTCTGGATTAGAAAGCGAACAAGGACAGCACTGTTGCAGGCAAGACTCACATTTGACGCTGCTAAACTCTCCTGGCGCGTCGTCGCTGCCTGTTATGCGGTCGCTGATATGCAGGCTGAAGTGCGCCTTCTTGTGCGGTTCGATGCGGCTCTCAAGCATAGGGGACGCCATTCTACGCGTCCACCTGTGACAGTTTTGCCTAAATGCGAGGGAACAAAGAGGGAAGAGACAGATAATATTGCAGACGCTACGCTACCAACGAAGTGGGCCAGAATGGAATGACAGTTGTTTGCGGAGTCTCAGCTGCGTTGTTCACGTCAACTGGAAGTCGCGACGCCGGCCGGTCTGGATTGGGACGCTCCGCTTGCCGTCTCCCGCAGCTAGCCCACCCCACACCTGCACCACTAATTTTAGCCTACTGCTCGACATCTCCACCCACGCCGAGCAATAGCTGTATATCAAGTGAGCTACATCAATGGAAGAAGAGTTGAATCTTCACGTATCGTGTATCGCTATTCTAGCTACAGCTATGCCCCCAGCGTGTTGGACGCATGACGACCCCGCTCAGTTGAACACCTAACAGCCTACACATCATCGGCATAGCTCGTCTTGCTACCGTCCATAAGGCGACTGCTCTCAGCTTGAGCCATCAGAGCCTGCGACGCCTTCCTCTGCTTCCGCTTCTGCCAGAACACTGAGGCGAAAAACGCCATGCAAAGCGCAACCGCTAAGACGATGCCAACAATGTGGTGCATTCGCAATGGCGCTGTCGCATCATCCTTCCACGGCACACCTTCAGGGTCATCTTCTGTGAACAGATGCCGTCCTCTCTCTGATGGCGGCTGCTTGTTGATGACGGGGAAGGCCTGTGAGAGGCCTCCTTCCAGCATGCCAGGAAAACCCAAGGCGCAGACCATGGTATCCGCCTCAGGCGTAAAGCTGAATTTGATTGGAACTTTGGCCATGCCTGATCCCATCACGTCGAAGCTTGTGGCCCATATTCCACCATGCCCCGGTTTCTCGTCTAGCGTGACCGTCAGATATGTCTTGTCATACACACGACCTCGGGAATATCTCGTTCGGCAATTCGGGCTGTACTATGGAACAGACTTACAGCAAGACTCCCAATCAAACTCTTTCTGATTTGTGTTGTAGTTATTGTCCTGTTCACAGGGCTTGCAGTACAGGTTCCGGTGACTGGCAGCCGGAACATTGAAGTCCGAAGGCCAGGTAAGCTTGACAAGGTCGTTGATGTACACGGGGACGGTACCAAAGCCCGAAGTAGGTGGGACGTGAGCGGAAGCCTCAAGGTACTGCTCGATCTCGAAACTGGAGCTTTGAGGGTGCTTGCTAGGCATCAGATCCTGGTTGCCTGGCGCCGGGAATTCCCACAGGATTGGATTTGGGCAGTCGCAGTCGTCCTTTGTTGGAGCCATGTTGTAGTTCTGACTTCCCCTCTGGATGCTATTGAGTATTGAGATGAAGAGGCGTCTTCGGCAACTTATGTGCAAAGGTGAGGAGAGAACCGCGTACACAATCCTGTATTGAAGCTACTCGGGGCTGGCAAAAGGCCGTCCCAAAGCTTCAGCATGGGGTCGCTCGCCTGTCTCGATAAGACTCGCTGTGAGTGGTGCATCTCAGATTCCTGCGTCGGGCTATGCTGATTCTAACGCAAAGCAGCGGGGTGGAGTTCGTATACAGCCATTGCGTACGCAGCATCGCGCTTCCCACAGGCACATGCGAAGCCTTGATAGCAAGTCGCGAATCAACAGCATAGAAATGCCGGTGCCTTGAGTTTCATACACGTACTTATCGGAGTCCTATCGGCCCGCAACTGCATCAATGCCGTCCCTACGCGTCAGTTCGGAAAGAATACAGACTATCGGACAGACGATGGAATGACAATATACCAATATTGGAGAGGGTGAATGAATGCGCGTCATCATGGCTATCGAAGTTGTGTCGAGCGTGGAATGTCAATGACCTGACAGATCGCAATGCCAAGACGCTAACCATGAAAGGCTGGTACAGGTCGCACCTGCCAGTCTCGACTGGTATGCGCTTTAATCTTCAATGAACCAGGAATAATGGTGCTGGCCTGCTTATCGCCTCCTTCTATTCAATACATATCTCTACATGCCGCACAAAAGATCTACCTAGCAAGCATACCGATCGCCTCGTGCCCAAAGGGCTGACCTTACTACAACTGCGCCTACTCCAGCCTGACCTGACCCCAAGTCTGAGCATCAAGCTTATCTTTATTCCAACATTGGAGTGTTGATGAGGGTCGATCCCACGAGACTTTAAGCAGGACTTCCCTTGGAGGACACTGCAACAGTTCAGCTGCACGATGTATTGAAGCTGCGAAGCTGCAAAGCTGCTGCCTGATAATTCGGGCAGTGTCCGTGGCCAGCAGATCGCCAGCACAACAATCCTCGGCTAATGTATCGCATGCAAGGCAGCAACGGCATTGTACCTGACGGAGCGTTCAACCCAAAAGCCTCGTGTAGCGACGCAGCTGCAAGGATGCATCTGCAAACATGGTCTGCTGTTATCGACAAGCGAGTCAAAGCCATTCTCGTCCGATAAATCTAAACAGCCATATTAAATGTATTGCCAACCAACACATCGTCATGCGCCGCCAACCGAGCACTATATCGGAGTATTGAAATCATCCGAAGGCAGTACAGTGTCACAACATACATGCTTGTCCATCTGCCGTGCAACCTTGGTCGGAAGAATGTAGACCTCTGGATTGGTCTATACATACTGGCATTGGGATATGTCGTCCCGTACACGGCTTCGCGAACTGTTTAGTATGGAGGTCACGCGTGATTGATGCTCGTATGAGGACTTTAGGTTAGTCGTTGGGCTGTTGGAGGGAGTTTGACGATGGCCGAGGGCGGTATAAAACGGAGAAATGAAAGCTTCAAGTTATACTATCGCTCTGTCGCCCTGTCGTGGAGGCATATTTTGCTTGGTCTCATCGTCTATCGGGTTCACTCGTTCACCACGCTCGCTTTGAACACACCGTACGTCATGCGCCTCATCATCCCCAGCCTCCTGGCCCTGATAGCCTCAGTCAGGGCTGTCGGCATCGCTGTCGTATTGAACAACTCCCCAGACCCCATCTATGTATGGTCCGTCGGTGGCACAGTCGGCCCTCGCCATGACATCAAAGCTGGTAGGACTCATGCGAGCTTTGACTTGGTCTCCGCTGACAGCCACAGGCGGTATCTACTGGGAGGAGATGCACCATGACGAAAAGTCCGGAGGCATCGCAATTAAGATGACGAAAGAGGCGGACGGTCTAAACTCCGGTGCTCCTCAGCAGGTGTGGGCATACAACCTGGATGGCGGGACGGTGTGGTACGATCTCAGCGCTGTCTTCGGGGCGCCATTCGCGGGTAGCCGATTAGATGTTACTGGAGATAATGGGGGTAGCATTGTGTGGCCGAATGGTATTCATCCAGGAGGCAACCAACTTACGAAAGCTCCGAGCGAGGGAAACATATTCTTTTCCATCAATCCTGCTTGAGCAATAGAGGATGGCTTAGAGATATTGAAGAGTAGAGCACCTCAGATGGATCGGAGCAGACTGCAGTGTGTCGGTATTTAGACCGGGTGGATGCATCCATTATACCGATTTGTGAAAGATCTTGATGACGAGTGCGCCAGAATAATTTGAGATGATTTTTCTTCACTGCTCTTTCTGGTGATGATTGAACCCGTCCGACGGGCACTCTTCGGTGTCTCACGACCAGCAGCTGTACGTCGGAAGATCATTGCTCAAGTCGACATGCAAACTGACAGCGCACGTGTGAATTGGCAGTGGTCGCAAGAATTGTGGGCGAACCGTCAAAATGGGAGACGTGGGGTCGGCCGTGCTTTCCAGGGCTGGTCGCGAAGAGGCAGTCGCAGATTGCCGCCTTCAGAGAGCTCCTTCCTCTGCCCAGCGATCGAATCGCCGCGTCTAGAAAGAGTCACCGACATTCGACTCCATGCGAGTGCGTCTGAAGGATCTAAGGATGGCGACCGACAGCTGTCTGTGCAACGCCACATTCTGTCGTGCTTCCGCTGCGCCCGGGCTCCCCAAACTACAGCTCGCCTCAGGCGTCCGGTCGCGAGTCATTGCGCCGTTTCTCGCACACCATCAGACGCCATTCCACCAGTACAGTAATCATTCATGCCACCAAGCCGAGATGTCGCCGTCTGTACAATTATTCCATGGCCACGCCGCAATCTGCCTTCATCTATCCAGGGCGTCATCTCATCTTATGTCGAGTTGGCATCTTGTGTAGCCTCGGTTCTGACATCCCGACCGGGTGTATCCTATCTCCAATCGCTGCCAGTCGCCTGCATGGTGCTACTGTATGATAGCGACTGCGGGCGGTATCGCGCCATGAGCATCGGGTGATGCAAAATTGAGCCGCATCTAGGTGCTGATCCGCCGCTGTCAGCACCAGCAGCTTTCCTGTGATTGCGACAGCGTTCAAGGGGAGCCTGCCCAATCTTCGATCTCGCGAAATGACCAGAAGCATCGCGAGATACGACTAAAGAGGCAACACCAAACTAGACGGAAAACTAGAGCCTGGGGACAGACTGCATTCACACCTTTAGCCGCCCTTGGGGAGGGTTGGCGTGCACAATAGCTGCCACCGCCCACTGCTAAACGCGATGCGCCCCGCTCCAGGAACGGCCCTCCGCAAAACTTATTGGTATGCTAGTTTAGCATCCGTCTCCCTGCGTCTGTAATTCGCTTGCTGCACCATGTCTTATCAACCCTCCGCCTGGAAACACCCTGGTCACGTTGCACATGGCGGCCGCTTTCGGGGCCACGCAGACCTTTCCAGGCAAAAGGCCCTACCTCGCCCTATGCCAACGACGCTCAAGCATGCGCCTTCTATTGCCCTTCTTCTGGTGATTGGCCTCTAAGCGGCGACCCGACGCCATGTATTCGTCGCCATGCCGCTTGCCACAACCAGAGGCGTTCCGAGAGGCGGATCAAATTGTGTACCACAATCAACAGCCGATGTTTCTGGCCCCGCTGACGCCTGACAACAGCATTGTCTTACTCCATACTTACTGAAGCCTGACAGCCACTCTCTCCGTCATCCGATTTTCTTCTTCCTGGAGATGATCACCAGCTCACCACTCAGCGCACGACTCGTGTCTCGTACTAACACGCGGGGCTCGCAGACATAAGAGCTCCACCACAACCCATCAATCAACACAATGAGTGCGAGGACATTGACAAACGTCGTCAACGACCAAACGGTCGCCTTGAACGCCCTGATCTATGGATACGCTGGGCACAGCCTCGTCACCCCGCAGCACGCTCTCCAGCAAATATGGTGGACCGAGGAGCGAATCAACGAAAAGGTCAACCATGACTTCGTCACTTCAAGGCTACAACCGAAAGAGAGAGAACGTCTCACACAACCTGTCGGCTTCGGCGATCTGAGCGACGACACCTACATCGAATGGATTCTGGAGAAAGCAAGACGACTTTTTCTGATATTGGTCGAGATTGGTGAAGCGGATAGGATCTTCGCTGTCGTTGACAGATCGTGGGACGACGATGATTTACCTCTGGAAATGGACGACATCGAGCAGCTTTCACTTTCCAATCGCCGCGATAACCACGCCGATGCTCGCTTCTATCACACACAATTCACATTCCTCCTAAGAGAATTGCGGGAAGGCATACATATCGATTATGCGCCCAACGAGGAAATACCGGTCGAGAACGTAATGTCTCTGCCAGTAGCAGTGAGCTTACAGGCTTGGCAGCGTATGCACCTACCGAAGAAGCCAAAGGAGATTTACGTCCGCAGGCGATTTCCGCTGGGCGACCCAGAAACACCGGATGCGTTCGAAGAGGACTTCAAGATGGATGTCGAAAGCGCAAGGATGGTCGAGCATGAGCATCTTGCGCCGATCTGGGCCTCGTATACCTCCAAAGGCGTTGGTTACATCGTCACCAACTTTGTAGGGCAGCATACTCTCCGCACGTTCATTGATCACCGCAACCCGACTCAGTACCAGAAGCTGTTGAAGCCTGACCGGAGATGGCTGGTACTTAATTGGCTGCACTGTCTGGCAGACGCCATTGCAACGCTGCATCAAAATGGATTCTGCCACTCCGCCATTCGACCGTCAAACATCCTCATTGACGAGCAGAATGCGATAGCATTTAGCGACATCGGTAGCCTTGAGACGTTTCAAAAAGACAAGAAGCCCGACGCAATGGACGCCTACGTATACAGTGCGCCAGAAACACACATGAGCACAGGACCTTTCGACCCCAATGACCCTGCGCCTTCACCCACTATCCCAAACGGTCGACATGCTTCGATGATTAGCAAGAGTTCGTCGGGGTCATCTGGCAGTAATAACTCACAACGGCAGAAGCTTACCAAAGCACCTACAACAG